AGGCTGCAGTTATTGCTATTAATGTGCTGCTCTATTCCCACGCCAGAGGCTCTACTGATGTGCCCAGGAGCCCTGAGACCCCAAGACCAGCGGTCTCTGCCCTGGCCAGAAGCCCCTCCCACTTCCCATCTCCCAAACCTGGGGCTCACTGCCCCTTCTGAGTTGAGGCCAGACACATGCTGCTGAGGCATCATGACTGGAAAACTGTGTTTCCTCCTCCCCTCCCCCAGGGCTATAGGGCCTGGCCCTTCCCCAAAGCCTGGCTCTGCACTGACACAGTGGCCTTGGATTTCCTCTCTGTTTGTCTGCTCTGGGCTTGGCAGTAACGGTCTGAGCCGGCCAAGACTGGGGAAGCTCAGCAGACTACCACAGCCACTGATCCTGGAGCATGACCAGCTCAGCTCTTCTAGGACCGAGGACATTCCAAGAGCTCCGTGTAGGAAGGTCTGACAGCCCCCTGAACCAGGGAAGGTGCAGACAGACCTAGAGATGGCTGCCATTGTTCCCCAAGGGCTGGGCTGCCTGAGGGACCAGGTACCAGGGAGGTGCCAGGGATCCCATAGCCCTAAGACGCAGCCCTTCCCTGCAGCCCTGGCTCCTGAGTGGTGTTTTGCTGTGCAGTCAGAAAGCAGAAACCACTCTATGCATTGGAACAGAAGGAATTTGGGCTGAGTGCAGTGGCTAACACCTGTAATCCCAGCACTTTGGGAGGCCTAGGTGGTTGGATCACCTGAGGTCAGGAATTCGAGACCAACCTGGCCAACATGGCGAAACTGTGTCTCTACTGAAAATACAAAAATTAGCCGGGCGTGGCAGTGGGTGCCTGTAATCCCAGCTACTCAGGAGGCCGAGGCAGGAGAATTGCTCGAACCTAGGAGCTGGAGGTTGCAGTAAGCCAAGATCAAGCCACTGCACTCCAGCCTGGGTGACAGAGCGAGACTCCATCTAAAAAATTAAAAAAAAGAACAGAAGGAATTCATTATAGGGAGTAGGTTACACAGGTGAAAGATCTGAGAAGCACTCCAGAGATGAACAGTAGCAAAAAGACATTACAACCCCTCCACTGGAAGGATGCGGGGAAGATCCTAGTGTCTAGGATCTGGCGTCACCAGACAGAAACTGGAAGCACAGCTAGGCCTGTGTGATGGGACCTGGGACTACGAGGGAGGGGCTGTCCAGTGGGAGCTGGGACCACGGAGGAGACCGGCCAGTGGCAGAGATGCTACCTGAAGCAGAGGGGGGAAACTGCGGCATTTCTCCCACCTGCCAGTGCCTCCCATGGGCCAAACCTACCAGGCAGCCAGAGGGCAGGGGAGCCGGGGAAATGGAGTTCCCCGCAGCACAGAGCAGAACAAGGCAGGGAACAAACATGAAGGTAAGCAAGCGAACAACCCGCCTCTGGAGACAGGAGCTGCTCAGGATGGGAGGGCACCACTCCTGGGTTTCCCCCGGCCCAGCCTGCCTGAGGGTCAGCGCTGTCCCAAACTGGCAGCCACTGCTTACAACTCAGTTTCCACTCACAGGCCCTGAGGATATCCAGATCCTGGAGGACCAGTGACAGGCAGACAGGCCCAAGATGGGGAACCCAGAAGCACCCTGAGATGTCCTAGACCCTGAGATGTCCTGCCTGAGACCTCCAGGATCAGCAGAACACCAGCAGCTAGTGCTCCTAAGCCCAGCCGTAAGTGACAGCCTATGAGGACAAACCAGGGACAAACCTGGTCCCCACTTCTTTTCACTCCTTAAGCTTCTACTGAAGCCTCCAGCAGACTCTTGCTGGAGTCTGCCTCAAAGCTGCCGCATCCCCTGGAAACACCTGAAAGGATGCTCCCGGCTGCAAAGCGCCCTGAGCCTACGACCAGAGGAAGTGCTCCATCAGTATCCTGTGTGCCTGCTTAATGCCTGATTACCTGCCCGGCTTGTCCCTGTGCAGACGCAGTGGATGCCAGAACACCCTATGGCTGGAGAGAGGCGGGGAGACCCTGGGGTGCTTGTGCCCACGAGCACTGCCCCAGCCTGGCAGCACCAGGGACGGCAGAGGAACGAAAGCCCCAGGAATGCCTGTGGGGTGTGACGGCAGCCTCTGAGTGAAGAGCTGTGCCCAACCCCAGCTAAGCCCTCAGGACCCAGGACAAGGGGCCTTCTTCTACATAGGAGAGTGGGCTCATCAGCATCCCACATAGAGGGAGGCAGACAAGCCCTGCAAATCTTCCTCTAAACTTCATGCATCTCCTCGGAAGTCCCTATAATAATGACAAGTAAGTTTATTGAGCACTAATGAGCTGGGTGCTTGGTTAAGGGGTTTATGTCAGCATCTCATTTAATTCTCCAAAGAACTTTGTATGCTAAGTATTATGGGGAGCCTGTCTAGTGGGTCAGAAACTATGACCAACAATAAAACTTTGAAGACAATAACAACAATAATAACATTAACAGAGGAAACGATGTTTCCCGGAGATCTAAGGAAGGGAAATTAATGTCTGATGAAGGGATGATTAAAGTGAGGACACAGAAAGGGATTTCACAGGAAATACAAAGATGTGAAAGTCATTCTTCAGAGAAGATCTCCACCAAGAACACTCAACCCACATTCAGGCAGAATATGCAAGGAGGCAAACTGTTGTGGACCCCGCGATCTCCACACAGAAGATGTCACATGAAAATATAAAAACAGGCCGGGCGCGGTGGCTCAAGCCTGTAATCCCAGCACTTTGGGAGGCCGAGACGGGCGGATCACGAGGTCAGGAGATCGAGACCATCCTGGCTGACACGGTGAAACCCCGTCTCTACTAAAAAATACAAAAAACTAGCCGGGTGAGGTGGCGGGCGCCTGTAGTCCCAGCTACTCCGGAGGCTGAGGCAGGAGAATGGCGTGAACCTGGGGGGGCGGAGCTTGCAGTGAGCTGAGATCCGGCCACTGCACTCCAGCCTGGGCGGCAGAGCGAGAGTCTGTCTCAAAAAAGAAAAAAGAAAAAAGAAAAACAGGCCGAGCGCAGTGGCTCACACCTGTATTCCCAGCACTTTGTGAAGCCAAAGCGAGTGGATCACCTGAGGTCAGGAGTTTGAGACCAGCCTGGCTAACATGGTGAAACCCCATCTCTCCTAAAAATACAAAATTAGCCAGGTGTGGTGGCACACGTCTGCAATCCCAGCTACTCGGGAGGCTGAGACAGGAGAATTGCTTGAACCGGGAGGCGGAGGCTGCAGTGAGCCAAGATCGTGCCACTGCACTGTAGCCTGGATAAGACAGAGTGAGACTCTGTCTCAAATAATAATAATAAACAAACAAACAAACAAAAACTCTGGTTCCTGGCAGCTTCTCTTGAAATACCAGAATGGTACCATGGCGCCCTCCTTCTGATGTGGGAACAGTTGGTTGGAGCCAAGAAGCTATAGCTCTTTAGACCGAGTGTGGATGCTCTGGTCAACACAGCCCCTATCATCCCCTAATACCTTTTATTTGGCCCTTCCTCTCATCTCCACTAACTGCCTGGCACCATGGGCATTTCAGATTGGTCTCAAAGGCGCTTCCCAGCCGTCCCTTAGCCGATCAGAAAAGCCTTGCTGCCACCTGGTGGTCCTAGTTTTCTCCTGTGCCATCGATGCATGTCAGTGATATTCCTGATACATCTACCACCAGGCACACTGATTGTCTCTCATTTAATCCTTTTACCAACCCTGAGAGAACAGGAATTATTGTATCCATTTTACAGATGAGAAAACAGAAAAGGTAAGTTGGGAAATTATAGAAAAGAAAAAAACAAATGAGCAAGGTTAAGTGAATAAATCGTTCAGGATCCCAGCTTCCATGATATTGCCAGGAGCGGAATCCGGCTCTTTCCTTCGCCCCAGCCCAGGGTATTTTAGGCTCTTTCCTGCCACAAGAGGCCTTAAAATGACTCTTTCATGTTAGAAGTTAAGTCCAGGTGGAGGGGGCCAGGGATCCCTTGAGACGGGCCAGAACTCTGCAGTGAGTACTTTTGAGTCTGAGTGGAGAGGACAGAGCAGCCTGGGAGCCATTAGCAGATGTCTTCATACATAGAAACCACTGTCCATCCATAGTCAAGGCATTTGCTGCTTGCCTATGGCCAAGTAGGTCTTGGACTCAGATTTTTTTCTTTTTCTTCCTTTTTTTTTTTTTGAGACAGAGTCTCGCTCTGTCCCCCAGACTGGAGTGCAGTGGCACGATCTTGGCTCACTGCAAGCTCCGCCTCCTGGGTTCATGCTGGGTTCATGCCTCAGCCTCCTGAGTAGCTGGGACTACAGGTGCCCGCCACCACGCCCGGCTAATTTTTTGTATTTTTAGTAGAGACAGGGTTTCACCGTGTTAGCCAGGATGGTCTTCATCTCTTGACTTCGTGATCCACCCGCCTCGGCCTCCCAAAGTGCTGGGATTACAGCCTCAAGGAGCATGCAGTTGCCTGTGGGCACAAAGGCACACAGCCAGAGCTTAGTGATCTTCCCAAAGTACAACCCTAAGCACGTCACTCCTCTGCTTCAAACCCTTTCATGCCTCCCCCACTGCCCTCAGAATAAAATCCAAGGCTCCTTGCCATGTTTGCTGCACCTCTGGGCCTCCAAATGTGCTCTGTCTGCCATCTTCACCTAACCACCCACTGGGCCTCAGCTTGGATTTCACCTCTTCCAGGAAGCCTTCCTTGGCCGCCAAGTCTGAGTCAGAGGCAGGCCTCTTCCCTGGCTTGTGTGGCACCTGCCATTCCTTCATCCTGACACTTACACAGCGTTTAATTGATGGTTGCCTCATCTGCCTCCCTTAGAGACTGGGATCTGGAAGACAGGGCCTCGTCTGTCTAATTTATTTCTGTATCCCCCAGCAGCTCAGGCCAGCTCCCTGAGGCATGAAGGGTGTCCATTAAATGGATACTTGAGCAAACAAGATGTCATTTTTATATACAGCAAGTGTCTAGCAAACAAATGGCACAGCAGGGTATCTGGCTGGTATCTAATCCAGTGGTTAGAGTCACACAAATTCCAGAGACTTTCCATCTTTGAAGTCCTTTATTCCCGGCAGTTCACATCAGTTACTCGTTGAGCTGGTGCTCGTCATATTAACCAAGCATTCATTCATCTTTCTTTTGATATTGTAATCTTGTCCTCATGTCCACAACTGAATTGGGGCCTGAGGGGTTTAAGAGTTCTCACTCCATCATGGAAGGCAAGGGGTACCCTTGTGAATCAGACTTCAACTCCTGGAAGTCTTGTTCAGTTCATAGGCAAACATCTTTGCAAGTTTAGTATGTGACAGCCCAACAGTGAAATAAATAAGACACAGTGCCGTGGTTCTAGGCATTTGGAGAGGGAAAAGGCATATTACACAGATTCCCCTGGAGACAATACAGGCCATTCTCATCTTCTCAATATGCATTTTCCCACTCTTCAGTGACTTTTAATCTTATCCCCTGGTCTATGAGAAACCATAACCCACATGCTACTGAATACATTTTTATTTTCCCTTCATGACATAGACTTGGTTCCAAGTATATTTTATTTTCCTCCCTTTTGCCTACAAGACATCCAATTTTGTTCAGGTCCCTTTTAATGGCACTTAATAAATATACATTCTGAGACCTGACAGAACAGGCTGTCCCCTTTCACACTGCCTCTAAAGCGCCTGTTTGAACTAGCTAGTGCAGAGCTCAGTTGGGGGACATCCTAGCTTACAGCTCATGGCCATCTCTGGCCCCAGGTCTATCTGTCCAATACTTTGTGTCTAGCGTAGAGGTCCTTAACCCTGGCTGCACATTAGAAGCACCTGGGAAGTTTTCTGAATTCCTGAGGCCCAACCACACCCTAAACCAATTTCATCAGCATCTCTAGGTGGGAGGGAGCATGGATTCTGCCAGTTGAAACCTGTCATGGTAACTTCAGTGAGCAGCTACATTGAGAACCCATGAGCTACAATTCTAGCACACAGTAGGCCCTTGGTAGGTAGCTGTGGAACCCACGAATGGGTTTCCTATTTCATTATCTGTTCCCCTATGCTTTTTATTTTTATCAGAAATCTGAGCAGGAAAGAGCAGGGAGAATGAGTCAAGAGCATCCTCTAAAGTGAATTCGCTGCTGAGAAAGGAACTGTAGGGGCTGCATTTCTCTTGTATCACGCAGTCTTCGTGCTTTAACAGGTCCAGAGGAGGCAAGTTATAGACTGTCTGACACAGACATGTATATATTTCTTAAAAGCCCTTCAAAAACCAGAGCTCACTGCTTAGGCACTATGGTTATAACATAGACACGTTCTTGGAAATATATCTAAACTACCTCCTGTTCAACACACATTCTATCTTGGGTTGGTTACAAACTTTGTCAGTTGTATAAGATCACACTTGGTCACCTTTTCCCATTTCTGTGAATCTTGCAGTTTATCTTTGCCCAGAGCAATAGCCTAGATATGACAACCCCAAGCAGTGACTGCACTGCACCCAACATTGCCCCAGCGGGTCAGTCCTCCTTGAACAGGAACTGTTTTTGAGAGGCTCCAATTTCCAGGTTCCAGAATGGAGTGGCTCACTTACCAAGCTGAAGAGGCTGGCTACGTAGAATGCAGTACAGAGAAGGCCCCCAAGCTAGATCCCGGGTTACAGGAAAGAAAACCATACTGATGAACAAGGTTTGCTGCCATGGGCATGGGCATGAGGGAGGGCTGCAAGGTGGGGGCCACCCTGAGATCACTGCTGCCATTTACATTTGTATCACACTTCACAGTTTACAGGGAGCTCTGCATGCTTAGCCTCACGTCATTCTCAGCACAACCCTTGAGTTAGGTCTTTCTGGATGGAACACTGAAGTTGTGTCCTACATCTAAGGTCCCACAGGCAATTGCATCACATCCACGGCTGCCTCCAGGACTTCCGGGGCCACCCAAAACCACCGGGAGTTCCCCCTGGCTCCCCTTCTATCCAGAAACAGTAAAGCAAGCCATTCCCCAACCTCCCCACGCACCAGGCCTTTTCACCACCTTCCCAGAATTTCCCCTGTGATTTGCATACCCCTTTGTTCCCTAGTCCAGAGAACACAGCAGCAGCTGTTCACCTGCTGCCAACAGCCTCACACACCCCACCTAACACAGCATCAAAATCCCCTCTTCCCTGGAACGGCCTCTGAATTTGCCTACACACATTCCAGAACTATGACTTGGTCACACCCACTCCCAGGACCAGTCAAGGGTCTTGGGAACCTCTCTGCCACACCGATGAATCCACGGCTTCCCCACTTGAGAGGGCTCCCGGTGGGTCGCTGCCCAAGATAAACTCAGCTTCCAGCATAGAGAATAAAAGCTGACTCGTTGGTTATGATGTCTCCTGATACCATGTGTAGGAAATGAACCGTCTGACCAGACAGTTCTGGACTCCTCCAGAACCTGCTTCCTGCAACCACACAGCACGCAGGTAACATTCTCCTGTGTGACCCATGCCCACAGGCAGGCCCGGATGGAGGCACAGCTAAGACAGGCCATAAGCGATGGAGAGTCCTGGCCAATCAGCTGTGACCTGCTGTCCAAGTGCATTGTGACCCCAGGTCGGAATGAGTTCTTTATGCAGACATAATGAGCAGTCCTGGCTGGAGCCTCCTGTGCCCCCACCACACCAAGCACTCTGCGAGGCCCGCCCACGTCTTCTGGCTGCCTCCTGAGTGCGCTTCCCCCACCCTGGCCTGGTCTTCCCTTCCTCCTCCACCTTTCCTTTGCTTCTTTTCCCTCCAGAGTCAGAGCTTCTAAGCCTCCCCCACCACTTGGCAATGTGGGCTCCACGGAGGGTACCCTAAGAGGGCAGACTCCAGCCCCACAAAACTGGGCTCTGGGCCCTGGCCAGGAAGCCAGAAGGCACATAACCCCTCTGTCCATTCACTTCCACCAGGCTCCACTCTGGGTTCCCCTTCTTGTCCTGGGCCTCCAGGATGGTCACGGGCTGGCCTGCCTGCAGACTCACTTCATGGCTGCTTCTGGCCACAAAAGGGTATACGGCTATGACCTGAAACACATGGGGAGTGACACAGAAATGGTTACAGTGAGAAGGTAGACAGACTCAATCCAGAGAGGCTGTTTATCCTGTTCCCAACCAACTGGCTCTCATCCCCGTTGCTGGATGCTCATCACCTCCCAAGTACATCTTTTGTGCTAAAGGCAATGACTGCATCTGCTAGTACCACAGCCCACACTATGTGACTGGCACTGTCCTGGCACTCTATTGGGTTTGGGTTTTCACAATAATTCTATCATTCTATTTGCTGCATTTTTCAGATAAGAAAAATGAGGATCAAGGAACTTACTCAAAATTGCACAGCAGTGAATCTAGGCCTGTCTGACCTCCAAACAGAGATTTTTGATCCACTGTTGCCACATCACTGAGCAGACTCAGCACCCTATCCCTCTCCAGATCTAACAGTTTGAGCTGCCCAGGCCAGTTTGCCAGCTGAAAGTGGAGACAAGGATTTGGGTAACTTGTTTACTTTTTACAGAAAAGTATAGAACTGGGCCAAGCGTGGTGGCTCATGTCTGTAATGCCAGCACTTTGGGAGGCAGAGGGGAGCAGATGACCTGAGATCAGGAGTTTGGGACCAGCCTGGCCAACATGGTGAAACCCTGTCTCTACTACAAATACAAAAATCAGCCGGGCATGGTGGCACACACCTGTAATCTTAGCTACTCAGGAGGCTGAGGTGGGAGGATTGTTTGAGCCCTGGAAGTTGAGGCTGCAGTAAGCCCAGATCATACCACTGTACTCCAGCCTGGGCCATAGAGCCAGACCCTGGCTCAAAAAAAAAAAAAGAAGAAGAAGAAGAAAGAGAAAAAGGAAGAAAGAAAGAAGAAAGAAAGAAAGAAGAAAGACAAAAGAGAGAAAGAAAGAGAGAGAAAGAAAGAGAGAAATTGAACTAGAGAAAACAACTGGCGAGGATGGCATTTATTAGGCTAATATTTAACCTCTCTGAGCCTGTTTTACCATCTGCAAAATGGAGGGAATGGTCCCATCCCCTTCAGGTAATTGAGAGAATTTCATGAAGGAATATATGTATAGGGCTTTACGCAGGCTGCTTCGGTTTTTTTTGTTTGTTTGTTTTTTGTTTTTACAATTACTGTTATTACTGATGGTCAGGCCTCAGGAACATTAAGCACCATGGAAGGGCTGGGATGATCCCGGGCAAGTCCCATAAAATCCCAGAGGAAGCAGTTGGTGTGCTTGTGTAGATAGACAGCTGAGCTCACCCAAATGAGCCCCTGGATGGGGATTCCCTGAGACACCACCCACACTGACTGGAGCTGGGCGGCAGGGGCAACCTCATTCCTTTCCCCAGAGGCACTGGGGCAGAAGCTGAGCTGGGCGGTCAGGCCCTCCAGTGGGGCTCTCGTGGGTCCTTTGTAGCCCCCAGTGCTTTACTTCTGGCTACTGCTGGAGGATGCTGGTCTGACAGCCTTCCTGGTGGGTGTGGCACAAGCTCTAGAGCAGAGGGTCCCCAGACACCTGTGCAGCACTCACAGCCTGCTGCAGGCTCCTCCAGCCACCCTGGCCCGAGGCATCTGAGTTCGTCCAGATCCTTTCTGTCGCTCCTGCTTCCTCTGCGGTGCACCCCCCACCACCCTCAACTGCCAATCACTGTGAGAGCAGCCACCATTGAGGGAGGTTCACAATACATGCAGCCCAGCTTTCCTGTCTCATCCCATCCTTCCAACATCCCACTGAACTTCTTCCCCGCTCATGGACTCCATCCCTGCAAAGCCAAATCACTTAAGGGCTTCCAAACACTTTATCTTTCAGATATAGTTCTCATTCTATAATACTCACCCTTTTAAAGCATACAATTCAGAGGTTTTTAGTATATTTACAGATACATGCAACTATCCCCACTATCTAATTCCAGAACATTTTCATCGCTCCCAAAAAGAAATCTCATACTAGTTGGCAGTCCCCGTTCCCCACCTCCCACCCCCAGCTCCTGCCAAACACTCATTCAGCTTCTATCTCTACGGATTTGCCCATTCTGGACAACCACACAATGGAATCCTATGTGGCCTTTTGCATCTGACTTTGTTCACTTAGCAGCATGTGTTCGAGTCTTGTCCATGCTGCAGCATGTACTGGTGCTTCATTCCTCTCTATGGCTGAATAATATTCCATTGTACGAAAAGCTCGCGTTGTGTTTATCCATTCATGTTGATGGGCCTGTGGGTTGTTTCTACTATTTGGCTGCAATGAATAATGCTACCATGAACATGCATACACATGCTGCCCATTGCTCTTCAGAGAAAGACTGAGACTGACACCCTCGCCAAGGCCACAAGGCCCTGCTGGCCTGTCCCTGCCCACCTCTCCAGCAGGATGACACCCAGTCTGTCCCCTTTCTTCTCCGGCCCCACGGGCTGCATTTGGTTCCTCATGCACCTCCTACCCTCTCCTGTCACCAGGCCTTTTCTGCAGAGCTCTTTTCATCCGCACCCCAGTACACCCTCTTTATCCAATTCATTCTCTTTCTCCCTTCCTGTTTGAGAAAAAGCACCATTCTTCTCAGCAAAACCTTTCCTGGACCTCTCTACACCTAGGGCTCTGGTAGTTCTCTCTACTATTCACTTTAACTTCAGTTAGTCATGCAATTATTTTATTAATCACTGTTTTCCCTACTCTCAGATTAGAAGTTTGAGGGAAGCACAGACCATGATTTAGTCTTGCTCATCATTGTATCTCTCATCTAGTACAGTGCCTGGCAAATATTGAATGAATGAATGAATGAATGAATGAATGAATCTCACTTGCCCTGCTGATGGGGAATGAGGAGTTAGTTCTCTGTGGTTGCTGTGGTAGGGGCGGGAGGCCCCTTTCCTCAGGTCCCAATCCTGGCTGGGACACTGGCATGGCCACTGATCAAGGCCTTGGTCTCACAGAATGGCAGCTCCACCAGATAGGAGGGGCATAGACTTTGAGAGAGAAGGAAAATCCAAGCCACAGTCCAGACGGCCAAGGGGAGGCAAGCCCCTAGCCCTCTCCCATACTCACCTGGTTCACGGTGGGAATAGAGGGCGCTGGAGCTGGGCTGGGCTCCGGTGTTAGACATCGGGGATCTTTGTTCAGCCCCACCTGCCTTCTGAGCTCCTCTGCACTGGGGACCACATGGTACAGCTGCAGTTTCCCAGCTGGCACATACCCACGATGTCCTAGGGAGCATGCAGAAGGTTAGCGGACTGCGGGCCACCTTCCCGTCCCTTTTAATGGGGAAGAAAATCAATGGATGTAAATGTCTCCAACACAGCTTCTCAACACCCAAGAGAACCTGAAAAGGTCATCTAGGAACCCTGAACCCCCCTGCCCCACACTCACTGTTTCTAGTTTCTGCTTACACATGCCAGTGATGGGGGGCTCATTCCCTACTGGACAGCCCACTCCATTTGATCAACTATGAGAGAGATTAAAATTTTGTCCCTGGACTGGCATGAAAACTGCTCTCCTGATGAGCTGCCAGCTCCCATGCGCCTCTGGTGTCTGCCCAGAGCAAGAGCTGCTTCCTCTCCCCAGGACTGCCTTTCCCAGGAGGCAGAGACTGCCTTTCTCCTCTCCACGTGACCCCAGTTCCTTCGTGTGTAGCAACTAGTCCAGTGCTGTTCTGATCGATGTCGTTATGAATGGCTATCACTTCCTGAGGGCGTGCCAAACTACAGAGCCAGCATTTGATTACATAGTCTTCACATCAACTCTTTTGAGAGCAGCCAGTAATATCATCTCCATTTTACGTTGAACCAGGCAAGCTCAGACAGGTTCCACGACTTCCCTGAGATCACACAGTCAGCAAAGTGGTGGAGCTGGAATCCAAATCCAGTCCTCTTGACCCCGGGGGCCTTGCTTAATACCCGTTCTGTTGTTCCCACCTTAAGTCATGCAAGTGCTGTTTCATGATTTCTGTCTGATTTGTACCGCTTTCTTAATTTTTTAATTGATTCACTTTTTAAAACTTCATCTTGTACTATACAATCATATGATTAGAATCATGGAATTATGGACTACTTATATTTTTTCTAATACACATTAAAATGCTTCAGTAACAATTATAATACACTGTCTGAAGTGTATTATAGGAAAAACTGTCTGTGGATCCCCTGACAATAATCTCATGCACCCCTCATCTTGTGGTCACACACCCCTCTTTGGAAGATGCTCTCCTGGGCCCTCTCACCTGGATTCATGGTGCCACTTCCCTCCGGCCCAGTTCCCAGTTACAGTGGGGCACCCAGACCTCAGCAGCACTCCCCGAGGCCATGACCAGTACTGAGTGCACAGGATGACCGCTCCCCTCATTCTGCACATCAGACTTCTCGCAGTGTAGCCAGGGTCCGAGCATTCTATCTCTGTGCCCATCTCCATCTTTCAGGGTGGTCTGGAGTTCTCTCCATATAGCCCTGTTGACCCCAGTGGTCTGCAAGGCCCTCCAGGCAGGGCCTTGTCTCATAAGCTCAGCGCCCAGCACACCATAGGTGCCTCATGATAGACCCTGCAATGGATGCTTGAATTCCTCTTCTTGGCTTTTCATGCCCCATGGAGTCACTCTAAGCTGACTGTGCCCTGAGCCCCGTGTATATCACTTGTGCCTACTCCCATCCTGGAATGCACAGCCCGACTTTGGCCCACAAGAGTGCCTGGGTCTCTGCACTGGCTTCTGTGGGGTGGTTTTCCCAGAAGGAGAAGAAGGGCTCACAAAGGCCCACGTACCCCCGGTGTCCACCAGCCAGCGGTTGTTGTTGCCTTTGGTGTCCTTGTTTTGAAGGAGGGCCACAATTTGGCCCCGAGGCAGAGTCAGGTCCAGAGTCCCAGTTCCACTGATGTTGCTTGTCACCTGGTACAGCTTCCCAGGGCCATACCTGCTCAGGAGAGCCTGCGCCTGGCGTTCAGACCCTGGAAGGAGCGGCTGGGAGAGGAGGAGCAGAGACAGACACAAGTTCTTGAATAAACCTGTCAAAGCTGGCACCAACATTTGCTCACATTTTGAGAGCCAGGAGTACTGGGCCTGATCCTAACTCTGCCACTGAAGGGCCCACCCTGATCAGGGCAACAGGGCCCTCACTAGCAGATGGCTGGCTCTTAGCAGCCAACGGCATTTTGGAAGAAAATTCTAATTTCTGGGATTCTCTAAAATTCCAATTCAAGTTCTGAAATCTCTCAGTTACTGAACTCCTAGGATTGGGCCCTAAATTCTGCCCATAGCATCAGGCTAAGTTATCCCACAGCAGAATGCCTCGAACAAGTCTTTCAATTCCATCAGAATGTGAGCTTCGTGTGGGCACCAGACCTGATTCATCTGGTTTCTTAAATAGCCAGCCAGGGCCGCACATGGCGGATTTCACATACACACGAATGAGGGCATGTAACCTTTGAGTCCATGGGTTTTCAGTCCACAGGCATTTATGGAGCACCTGCCATTTACCGGGCACGGTGGAGAACTTGGTGAATGGTGTAGCAGAAACACGGGAGAGAGTTTTAGCTAGATGAAAATCGCCATCTAGCTGGAAAGAATGATTCATTGGCACTTCCAGTTTATCCAAAAATCTCCTGGCATTTTCTGTTTTTCCATTCCATGATACTGCCTCCAGAAGAGTATCAACAAGGAGAGACTCAGGGATGCTTGTCCCCTTTTTGTAAAATCAGTGAGAAACTAAATATGCTAAATACATATTTACTTTCTGTCTTGAGAGGTGTGTGTGTGTGTTCACCATGCTCTATGTGGTTACTTCTTAGGAGGTGTTGGGCGTGGGGAGGCAGGCAGAGATGCCCTTCAGGAACATTTGGCCACAGACTCTGCCACATCCTTGCCCCAAAGGGGATGCTGTCTCAGGATTTAGAACCAGGAGGTCCCAGTGTTTCTATAACAGATCCTTAAACAGGAGTGTAGAGACGAGGTAGTTTTCTTTGAGAACAGTGGTGTTGTGGGTCAATTCTTTTAGAACAGTGGTATGCATGTGAGTGCCTGCATACCACTCACAGTGGTGTCACAAACGCTGGGCTTCTTTCTCAACGCTGACCGGCCCTCCCTACGCAGAGAACAGCGTCACCCCCAAGGGTGGGAGGGCACCCAAGGAGGGCTTGCAAAGATCCCATGAGGGCTGCTCCTGTCCGGGGAGACCACGTCACTTGCGCTGGATTCTATACCTTCAGCCAAATACATCAGGAATGTGCAGGAGGTTTGTGTGTGTATATGTGTGTGTGTGTGTGTGTGTGTGTCTACAGGTGGGAGGGTGGGAAGGGGTGACTCTTCCTACCAATGTGCAACACATACTGGGATTCTGGATGTTTCCATTTGTTTCTTGTTTGTTTTTCTGCGTCTTTTAACTTTTCTACAATAAGTATGGATTGCTTTCCCAATAAGAAACATGTCATTGTAATTTGTTTTGAGTAAAAAGAGAGAAGAGGTTCCCATGACACGTTCAAGTGGCTGCTTTGCTGTTTATCCTCTGCACCCATGCTCTCTCTCCAAGTCTCGGGGCCCATGGCACACCCCTAGTCAGTGAGGCCTCTGCTGGGCAAAGCTCTTCATGTAGGGTAGGCGGAGGGACAGGTGGGGCCAACGAGGAGTCAGCCTGCAGCATCGTGGCGGACATCAGGCTGTGATGGTCTCTATGCTTGCGGCCAGGTGTGGGTCAGGTGTGGGCCATTTTTATCTGTCCTCTTCTGCTGGTCTCCCATTCTTGTTTCTCTGTGTCCCTGGGGCCCCATTCTCCCTCTGGGAAATCTCAGGGCTGTCTCTTGACTCTTCAGTTCACATGATGCATGCGAAGGGATAGTTTCAATTTCTCAGATCCAGGTCTTGCCACAGTCTGAGGAGACCCTTCTCCCTACAGCTGCTTCAGTTACTTTTAAAACACAGACCCCCTGGGTACACTTTTCAAGTGACTAGAACAGATAACCTCTCCTTATATTTTAAAGGAAAATACATTTGTTAAAAAAGCATTTGGGGCCAGGCGTGGTGGTTCACACCTGTAATCCCAGTACTTTGGGAGGCCGAGGTGGGCGGATCACTTGAGGTCAGAGGGCAGGAGTTCGAGACCAGCCTGGCCAACATGGTGAAATCCTGTCTCTACTAAAAATACAAAAATTAGCCAGGCGTAGTGGTGGGAGCCTGTAATCCCAGCTACTCGGGAGGCTGAGGCAGGAGAACTGCTTGAACCTGAGAGGTGGAGGTTGCAATAAGCTAAGATCACACCACTGCACTCTACCCTGGGCGACAATGTGAAACTCCATCTCAAAAAAACAAAAACAAAAACAAAAGCATTTGGTCAGCCAAAGCTTTGTAAACCATCGTGCAGCTGAAATACTGTTCTTTACAATAAAAAAATACCATAGCAATAGGAAATTTAAATGACATATCCAAAATTTTTATTTATGCTGAATGCTCATGTTGAAGCTGGCGTTAGAAGGCAGGGAAGGAAAAGGATACCTTTGCTTGGCTCACTGCAACCTCCGCCTCCCAGGCTCAAGCAATTCTTTTGCCTCAGCCTCCCAAGTAGCTGGAATTACAGGTGCACACCACCACGCTCAGCTAATTTTTGTATTTTTAGTAGACACAGGGTTTTGCCATGTTGGCCAGGCTGGTCTTGAACTCTCGGCCTCAAGTGATCCACCCATCTCGGCCTCCCAAAGTGCTGGGATTACAGGAGTGAGCTACCATGCCCGGACAAGGATACCTTTTGATGACAATCTGAAGAAGTTCTAGCTTTTTGGATGTCAATGCCAGTTGCCCATCATTATGTCTAACTTCACTTAATGTTTGGGTTTTCTTTTTCTTGACTCAGAAGTTCTGTGCTGTTCTTCTACTTCTTGGGTGTAAAGGGTATGTATGTATCTGCGTATGCCCCCGACCTCCAGCTCAAAGAGAAAGGAGAGAGAAGAGAACATATTTCCATGGATAACAGGAAACGTTGGGGGACAAAAAAGGAAAGGAAAGAGGGGATGGATGGAGCCTCACCCTACTGGCCAGTGAAGAACTGGACAGTCTTTGGGGTGGAGGAAGGATGCTTACCTGTGTGGTGGGAGGTGGCAGCACTTTCTCAAAGGTCTCTTGAAAGGAGCGAAGCTGGTTACTAGTCCGGCCCAGTGTGTCCTCCACCAGCTTCCTGAAGGCAGGCTCTGGGACATGGTGGTGGGGCAGCTAAGTGGGGACAGACACTGTCAACAGAGCTGGACAAGAGGTGACAAGGAGATCCCTGGCTTGGTTTGGGTTTACGTTACTTTCAACCCACGGAGTTCTGAGTGATACTCTGTCCTGAGACCTTGACCCTGTGCAGGATCACTTGCACTTTCATCAGACAACCTAGGAGTGAGTGAGACCCCACAGCTTGTCACCAAACTCACAGCTTGTCACCAGACTCACAGCTTGTCACCAAACTCACTGCTCTCAGTGCTGACCTAGAGCCTTCCTCCCACCAGGATGCAGAGAGATTGAGGTTTCTGGCTGCAGCCTTTCCCAGGCTCCACACGGACAGGCCAGGTGCATGGACCACAGGACATAGATAAGGCAAGCTGGCAGCTGTCACCAGTAGACTCTGACAGGCCGATCAGGAAGCACCCTTACTTTCTGCTTTTATAAACATGACCACTTCTCTACTGGCATCCCCAAACACTCCCCAGCTCGGCACATCCCAGCTTTAATGCAAGGGGTTGGGGCAGCTCAGGAGAGAAAATCTCTAGGCTACAGGAGAGGGAAAAGATCACTTCATCCGATTTGCTCTTCTGCCCTCAAGGAAGAGAAACACTTCTTTTACTGATGGTTCAGGCCTAATTCAATTCGCAGAGTGTCTGGGACAGAATTCTGTGAGGGCCAAAAAGAGGAAAAGCTTGCAGTCCCAGTCCCCCTGCTTGAGAGGAAACACATTCATGGATCCCTGCAGCAAAAGGCAGGCTCTGGAAAGTACTGGGCACAGTTCCATCCACAGGGCTGCTGGAGTACAGAGAATAGGGAGATGACTTCTCCCCCCCAGGGAGATGGGGAGCTCTGAGAGCTTCATGGAGAGACTCATTCATCTGCTACCTGTTTGGGGAGCTCCTACTCTATGCCAGACAGTGAAAGTGCTGAGGGACAATGGAGAGCGGCATTCTAAGCTGAGGTAGGCATCTGTGCAGAGTGGCCACATTCAGCAGCTGTGTGCTGGAGGGCAGGGCTGTCAGCTGGAAAGGAGACGGGGTGGGGAAGGCAAATCTTAGTAGAATTTTCATGCAAAGAATTGAATGGGGAAAAGCTGAGCTGGAAACTGTGACACACAGGAAACAGCGTGTGATATGAGGAATATTGAAATTGCTCCCTGGCCGGGCGTGGTGGCTCATGCCTGTAATCCCAGCACTTTAGGAGGCCAAGGCGGGCGAATCATGAGGTCAGGAGATTGAGACCATCCTGGCTAACGCAGTGAAACCCCATCTCTACTAAAAATACAAAAAAAAAGCAAGACGTAGTGGCGGGCGCCTGTAGTCCCAGCTACTTGGGAGGCTGAGGCAGGAGAATGGTGTGAACCCCGGAGGCAGAGCTTGCAGTGAGCTGAGATTGTGCCACTGCACTCCAGTCTGGGCGACAGAGCAAGACTCTGTCTCAAAAAAAAAAAAAAAAAAAAATTGCTCCCAAGGTTGGACCCAACAGCAATTCAGCTCTGATGTTGACATCTGAGAGCAAGATCTGGAAACAGTTGGGTATTCCTTCCTATATCAACTCCAGTCTTCCAAATTCTAAAATCAAAGTGTGCATTTGGAGGTTTATCCAAACCTCTGTGGAACCTATTTATGCTTTCAGCCGGTAACTCCTTTTACAGGCTCTTAAGTGTTGTGGTTGAGAGCCCAGGCCCTAGAGCTGAACTGTCACAGTTCAAAGCTTGCTATTAGCCTTGTGGACCTAGACAAGCTACTTAACCTCTACTTAAAGAAGCCTTGGCTTCTTTATTTTTAAAATGAGGATCATTATTCCTCCTCTGTAGGGTTGTTGTGAGGATTGAATGAGATCACGCATGGAGAGTGCTCCAAACAGGTACATCCTAAGTACTCATGAGAAGATGGCTGCTAGAAGTCATAATAATAACACTGGCTTCACATTTACTCCTTACTGTGTAGAAATGACCTTCGGCCTCTGTCATCAACTTCTAGTACACTCCAGAGATCAATCCCAAGATCTGCTATTGTACCAGCAAAGCTTCTTCTGCTTCTGAGTTGCAGGACTTGGGAATGGTCTGGAATCTCAGTCCTATCCTTGCTTTCATGGTCTGACTTCACTAATAGAGGGAGACTGGGCATGAGAGAGATCTAGAAGGTTCCCACCACCTCCTCCTACGTGCCTGATGACCTCTTTTCAGGCCCATCCTCCCTCCATCCTAGCCCCTACACACAGCTGGCTGATGGGGCTGCAGGGCCTTGCCTGGCTACTCCCCACAGGTGTCCCAGTCCCAGAGGCCTCACCTGGGCCATGCTGCCCTCTGCCCTCTGCAGCACTTGCTTTGCAAGGTCCCTCTGGAGGGTCACGAATGTGCGCAGGATCTGGCCCAGCCACTGCACGACCAGCTGGTTAAACTGCGGGAGCTCAGCCACTAGGAGGGAGTTGAGTGCCTGGTACGTGTGCCGGGCGGCCTCCTCCTGGTAGGTCACGCTGCCCACCTCCAGCAGTTTCTCTTCCAGCCGCTCAAAGTCCAGTAGCTTGTCCAGACGCTTCTTGATCAGGTTCTGAGGGCCAAGCAGGGCTTTGGCCAGGCTGCACAGTGGCTGCCACACCAGGCCTTCCAGCCGTTGCTTCTGTGGGGAGAGGTGAGCGTGGGAGTCAGGAAAGGAAGTGGCAAAGGGCAGGGGCTGTGAGAAGGGACTTTGGAAGCATGCAGGCCCGGGCTCCAGTCTAATCTCCACTGATTAGCTGGGGCCTTTAGCATGTTATCTAACTTCTCTGGGCCTCAATCTGCCCATCTGAAAAATGGGGACGATGCATGTAATGAGCTTAACAGAGTGCCTAGCACAGAGTAGGCATTCAATCTTATATAGCACTTTGAATCACTATTATGCAAAGATCTTGAAATTTTTTTTTTTTTTTTTTTTTTTTTTGAGACAGGGTCTCACTCTGTCTCCCAGGCTGCAGTGCAGTGACGCAATCACAGCTCACTGCAGCCTACCTGTCAGGCTCAAGAGATCCTCCCACCTTAGCACATGCCACCACACCCAGCTAATTTTATTATTCTTATTATTTGTAGAGACAGGGTCTATGTTGCCCATGCTGGTCTCAAACAACTGGGCTCAAGCAATCCTCCTGCCTTGGCCTCCCAAAGTGCTGGGATTACAGGCATAAGCCACCTTGCCCAGCCTTAGGAAAGATTTTGTATAGAGTGGTGGTCGAGAGTCTTTGGGGCTCAGATCCCAGCTTACCACTGACCATCTGTATAAATGACCCAGGAGGTCACCCCCTCTGAGCCTCAAGGTCTCATTTGCAGAATGGGGCTATTCATAGTAGCCACCCCGAAAACCATATGGTGAGGATTAAACGATGTAAGGAATATAAAGGGCTTAGCATAGAGCCTGGCAGATAGTGAGGCTCAGTAAATGCTAGTGGGGGCTATTTTTATCAGTAAAGGGCACTAATAATAATCGCTATGCTGCTGACCACTCAGGAAGATTATAGATGTGGCAATTGTGTGAAGTGCCTGATTTCTTTTTCTTTTTTTTTTTTTTTCCTTTTTTTGAGATGGAGTCTCATTCTGTCTCCAGGCTGGAGTACAGTGGCATGATCTTGGCTCACTGCAACCTCCGCCTCCCGAGTTCAAGCAATTCTCCTGCCTCAGCCTCCTGAGTAGCTGGGACTACAGGCGCACGCTGCCACGCCCGGCTAATTTTTTGTATTTTTAGTAGAGACGGGGTTTCACCGTGTTGCCCAGGCTGGTCTTGAACTCCTGACCTCAGGTGATCCACCTGCCTCGGCCTCCCAAAGTGCTGGGATTACAGGCGTGAGCCACCGCACCTGGCCAAAGTGCCTGATTTCTAAATAGTATTCTTGTAAGCTCTACCACCTGCCTAACAAAGAAAGGAGAAAGGAAACTCACAAACGTCAGGAAGGCCTCGAGCTGAAGGTCTCTTGCCAAATTGCAATACTGCACTGCAGGCCCCTCGGGGATGTCCAGACTGTATTCGTGCGGCCTGAAGCAGAGGAAAGTCTGGACCCAGTACCAAGGAGAAACATTGAATCATGGCCGGTCGTGGCCATCTTAGGCTGGAATCCCCTTCCACCACACCTCCTTGAAGAGGTTTTCCAGGCCCTCTACACACCCCCATTGAGAGGGACAGACAGAGCTGATCCTGTCCTCACACAGCTTAAGTGATCAGACAGTTCTGCCTTAGACTGAGCCAATATCTTCCTCCTCATTCCAGCGCTTCTTGAACTTCACATATTTACAAGCCACCTTTGTGGGGTCTTGTCTTTTCTTTTCTTTTCTTGAGACAGAGTCTTACTCTGTCACCCAGGCTGGTATGCAGTGGCATGATCTTGGCTCACTGCAATCTCCACCTCCCAGGTTCAAGCGATTCTCCCGCCTCAGTCTCCTGAGTAGCTGGGACTACAGGCGCGTGACACCATGCCCGGCTAAATTTTTCCATATTTTTAGTAGAGATGAGGTTTCACCATGTTGGCCAGGAAGGTCTCGAACTCCTGACCTCAAGTGATCTGCCCACCTCAGCCTCCCAAAGTACTGGGATTACAGGCGTAAGCCACTGCACCCGGCAGTGGTTTTTTTTTTTTTCTTTCCCATGTCCATATTCCACATGTTCTATTAATACTTTTCTCTAAATCAGCTAACTTTTTCTATTTACATCAATGCAGTAAAAATAAACATGCCTTCATAGCATTTAAATCTTCATTTAATTAGCTGCTCACATTGACGCATCAGGAGATGTCATCAAAAATCTGAAAAATACCTGAATTTCCAGGTATGTTTCTCTTAAAGTCAGAAGAACTGGGCCCATATTCTCACCCAGCAACAATCCCCCAGAGCTGAGAAATAGCTGCTCCTTTAGATTTGATTCATGTATTCATTCATTCAGCCCTTCAAATTCCAAATATTATTTTATATTTAAGTCCACTGAAAAGCCTCATAAACAGCCTGTTAGACACTAGGCTCCTATTGCATTGGATTGCCTATTACCTGCACACTTCACTCAGTAGCATTACCTGCCTGGCCCCTTTAGGCACCTGCGTTTGTCTCCCCTGCTCTAGGTGCTGGTCTGGCAGGGTTGCTCTGGAGGGCTCTGGTTCCAGTGAATTTTGGCCCTATGTGGCAGGAACTCCAATGGGCTCAGAGCTGCCCCCAGTATAATGACCTGGGGCTGAGGAGTGCTGGCCAGCATTCTTCTGGAGGCAGCCAGAGACAGGATGACCTCATCTGGTTGGTTTCTGAGACTGGTGCCTTTCCCAGCTTGTAGGCTGCGCCCCGCAAGCCTCCTGCCAGGGGAACCCAGCCCAGACTCGCCCCTTATGAACCCTGCAAGGTCCTCACCTGCAGATTGTCCAGGTAAGCAGCCACGTTGTTCTTCAGCTCAGTCACACACAGAGACACCCACTGGAACCTCTCTTCTAAATCATCAAATTCCTTGTCTTCTGTCTGAAAGCAATGTGTGTGAGGGTTGAGAATATCCACATGGGGGCAGTGTACACCGGCTCCAGTGTCCCAAGTCCTCCCTGGGACAACCTTTCCACAGACTCGCCCACCAGAGCCGGCTCTCGCATCCCCAAAGCTGAGTGGGCAGTGTAGCTCAGTGGCTTTGCATTCACAGCATGGAATCGGATACACAAGCATGAACCCCAGTTCACTGGCTTCCTAGCTGTGTGACCCTGGACAGGTGTTTTACCCTCTCTGAGCTTCTGTTTTCTCATGGGGATAGTGGGAACACCTATTTCATCGTGTGAGCATGCTTGGTTCAGAGCAGGCACTCCACCAACCTGCTGAGCCGCTAGAAGCAGCTATTTAGGGCTGGTTCTTTGCCCAAACCCAGAGGCCGGCTCTCCTATCTGTGTAAACAGGCCCCAAAGAGAGTGGCCCAAGACACTGGAGAAACCCCTCCACTGGCTCTTCAGAATCAAATGGGGTGCCGCCTCTGCCTCTTCCCAGCACCTCACTCTCTCAACCTCCGTTGCCTCAGTTCTGAAAGGAGCCTAAGCCCCCTGTCTACCCACTGTGCAGGGCCTGGCCTTGGGGGTGGCTGGGTGTGACTCTTCCTCCCAGGCCCACGCTCACCCTGGGGATCAGCCCCGCCTCCTGCTTCAGCAGCTGGCTCAGCCGGGTGGTCTTCTTGGAGAGGGTGTGCGTGTTGATGCGGGCCAGCCGCTCCCGCAGGGTCAGCTGCTCTACCTTGGTGTACTTGGAGGCTGCAATGACACAGAAGAGGGGAAGCACGGTGATCAAGCTGACTCAGGAAAGCAAGTGTCATGGACATGCCTGGCTGGGCACCTGCTTGGGCCCTCTGCTCCATCAGGGTCACATTCATCAGGTTGATGAGTCACGCAGGAAAAGCACAGGGTCCTGTATCCGAGGTGTGAGCCCTAGCTGTAGAGCTTCCTGCCTGCTTGACTTTGGAAAGTCACCACTCCTTGGGGCCTCAGTTTCCTCATCTGTAAAATGGGACGAGCCACCTTACAGGATTGCTGGGAGAGTCACCTAAGACAGAGGGTCTGAATGAACTTTCTAAAGAAGAACCCAGGGAGAAGAGATTTGCCTGGGGTCCCTCAGCCACTTTGAGCCAGGCCAGCTGGGAGCCACGCTTCCTGGTCTTGACTCAGTGCTTCCTACTGACCTGTCGTAGGATGGAGAAGCAGATGGGGAGGAAATCCAAAGCTGCTAAATATAGTACAGCATGGCGGTGAAGACTCCAGGCCTGAGTGTGAAACCTGGTCTGTCCCTTACCAGTTCTGTGATAGGAAGCAAGTGATGTATGCTCTCAAAGACCAAATGTGATGTTGAAGGAAAAAGCACGGCACAGCCAACCCTTAGTAAACATTAGCTGAATTGCCATTTGTATATTGTCTCAGTCATGTAATTGAGTTTTCTCTTCACTTGGGCCACTGCTTCATTTTCCAAACCTTTCTGTTTTAATAACCTGCGGGGCAGGGGTTCCCCTCTCCCCAGATAGATGCACAGCTCTTTATCTCCCCGGTGTTGGTTTCTCCTCCACAGTGTGGCAGTCATGTGGTTTGGATGAGATTGATCTCACTTTAGCTCAAGGGGTGGGTTGCTGACTGACACGAGCCAATTTATATAATTCCAACCCCCTGGCAACAGTGATCGATTCAAAGAAGGGCACATATCCTAGGCCTAAGTCAATCAGTTCACAACGCCCTAACTATGATGATTAGTTCAGGGTAAGCACATGACCCAGGTGGGTCCTATCAAAGAGAAGCTTTGATTTAATTTTTGTGGCTAAGGGGGAAACATTCCTGCCTCACCCTGGTAAGTATGGTGTGCAGCTGTGAGTCTTGGAACAGCCGCAACTTACTATTATGAGGCAAGCCAGCCTGAAGATGAAGCTGATACAGAGTAAAGAGCAGAGACAAGGGAGTTACAGGGAAATGGAGCCAGCACCCTGATCGAACCCTACCTAAAGCTTGCATGACCTCTGGATTTATAGTTACCTAAGCCACTACACTCTCTTTACTGGTGAAGCCGATTTTAGATAAATTTTCTGTAACTGGAAGCATTCCCACTAATGTGCCCTCTTAAATGCCCAAGTCCTTACCCACTTCCTTGCGCATCTTGTACTCATTGATATTGGTGTTCACGTCCTGGAGGGCAGAGACAGCCCTCTGAAGGACAGGGTAGGCACTGGCATCAGGGACTGTGTTCTCCAGGATTTTCTGCAGCAGCAATGGGTACCTGGTGATCCTCTGCAGAGGAATTACCAGCAAGAAACTGAGGCCTGAAGATCCAGCTTGCGGCCTGAAGGAGAAGGCTGGTATTAGGCAGGTAAAACCCACCCTTTGGAGGACCAGGGGGCCTGGGCTCTAGTCCTCACTCTACCATTTGGCTCACTGTGTGATCTCAGGCAAGTCACCCTCCCTCTGCGGTCCTCCAGTTCCTCACCTGTAACTTGTGAATTCTAGATGTTAGGCAGGCAGTGACAGTTCTGGGCCTTGGTTTCCCATCTGTCCCAAATCCAACATTCAAGCTCTCTGCCCTCAGCTTGCTCGGCCTCTCCACAGCAGACATGACTGACACCCTTGCTCCTGAAACACTTTCTTCTTCTGGCCCCAGAGACACCCACTGTCCTGCTTCTCCTCATACTGTGCAGGCAGCTCTCTCAGCCTCCTTTGCTGGTCTCTCTCCAATGCTGGAGTGTCCTGGGTGTCTTCTCCTCCCTCTCTCTCCACTTTTTCTTAGTGACCTCATTTGGTCCTATGGCTTTAAACACATCCCAAGCCCAGATCTCCACCTCCAACTTCTGTTCCAGAGCTCCAGACTGATACATACAACTGGATCCTTGACATCTCTGCTCAGATACGTCCCGAGCGCAACTCAACTGTGTTGGGTATCCACATGATATCTTATTTAATAGAATCGTCTGCTGCCTTAAAGAAATGTTCTTGTCTTTGTTTGTTTGTTTGTTTGTTTTTGTTTTGTTTTTTGAGATGGAGTCTCACTCTGTCACCAGGCTGGAGTGCAGTGGTGCGATCTCAGTTCACTGTGATCTCAGTTCACTGCAACCTCCGCTTCCCGGGTTCAAGTGGTTCTCCTGCCTCAGCCTCCCGAGTAGCTGGGATTACAGGTGCCCACTACCACGCCAAGCTAATTTTTTTGTATTTTTAGTAGAGACAGGGTTTCACCATGTTGGCCAGGATGGTGACGATCTCGTGACCTCATGATTTGCCCGCCTTGGCCTCCCAAAGTGGTGGGATTACAGGCGTGAGCCACCGTACCCAGCCAAAAAAAGTTCTTAAAAATCACAGGAACTTAATTTTTAGAGATGTATTTAAAGTATTTAGGGGTAAAAAGTCATAATATCTAAAATTTCCTTAAAATTAGCATAAAAGTAGATAAAGCAAACAGCAAAATGTTAACACTTGTTAATTTTAGGTGGTGGGTATGTATCTATTACATTATACTATTTTCTATAGTTTGAAACTTTTTATGAAAAAAAGTTAAAAAAAAAAAAAATGATTGCTTGAGGCCAGGAGTTCAAGACCAGCCTGGGCAACATAGCATGACCTCTGTCTCAAAAAAAAAAGAAAAAGAAATTCACCAGGCATAGTGGCTACTCAGGAGGCTGACACAGGAGGATTGCTTAAGCCCAGGAGTACGAGGATACACTGACCTGTGATCATGCCACTGTACTCCAGCCTGGGCAACAAAGCAAGACTTTATCTTAAAAAAAAAAGTGAAAACAAAACAAAACTCTGGAACTAATAGTGCCAAGGTCCCTTCCAGATACACCACTGATGCATGGATGACTAGTTATAGTCTCCTTCTTAAGGGTGTCTGGAATTTCATCAAGAGTCCCCAAGTGAGTGGCATCTGGGAAGGGGCTCCACAGTCTTTTTTTAAAAGATTATGACCAGTAGCCCCTAGGCCCAGCATGGAGAAAGCCACGAAGGTTTCAAATCTCAGCCATCTAAGTGTGCCTCCTCCTTGAAGACTCAACCAATACTGCTCAGGACCTTTCTCTGGGCCCTCCCTGATGATACTTGTGCCTCTGGCTCTCCTTAGGAAAATCTCCAGACCAAATGTCCAGGAAAGATCAGCCATGAAGCTAAGAACAGGCAGAGCAGGTGGGAGCCCCTCAGAAACTGCAGGGGGCGGGATTACCCATCAGGAGACGCCTACGCTGGCCATCTGCTCTCACCAAAGGTGTCCAGGGGCTTGGCTGACTGTGGGCAGGGGAGGTGGAAACCACTGCCAGGTATTTGCAAAACTCCATCCTCTGGGCTTCCTTTCCATGGGAAAGAGCCAACTGTCTCCCAGGGACAACTGTCAACTCACAAATTAGAGTGCAAGCAGTCCTGAAAGAGATGATCGCGTATTTTCCTCACAACCATGAAGGGATTACCAAAGAATGAGAGCATCTGCTCACATTTGCAGACTTTCTAAGGTAATTTGGACAATACTTTTTTATGCAGCTTTTCAGATAGGCAACAGAAATGGAAAGATGATACACAGAGCTGGGTGAGGGTGGAAAAACAGGCCTTCGTGCATTCTCTCGGTGGGAGTATCAACTGGCAAGGCCTTGGAGAGGCAGAGGAGTTCGGCAATTTGTAAAGGGTACAAACTCTTTCTTCCATCAATCCCATCCTAGAAATATACCCACAGAAATCCAAACTCAAGTGAGCAAGGATAAAGGTACAAGTTGTTCAGCGACTCTACTTGAGTTAGTAAATAATTGGAAACAACCCAAATATCCTTCAACAGAGGAATGGCCAAATAAGCCATAGTCTAAGAGCAGTCCAGGAAAGAAACTCTGCAGCCATTAAAAAAACACTGTGCTGGGCACAGTGGCTCATGCTTATAATCCTAGCACTTTGGGAAGCTAAGGTGGGCAGATTGCTTGAGTCCAGGAGTTTGAGACCAGCCTGGGCAACATAGTGAAACCCCGTCTCTACAAAAATGAGTCAGGAGTGGTGGCACACATCTGTAGTCCAAACTATTCAGGAGGCTGAGGTAGGAGGATCACTTGAGCCTGGGAGGTCAAGGCTGCAGTGAGCTGAGATCACGCCACTATACTCCAGCCTGGGTGACAGAGTGAGACCGTCTCAAAAAAAAAAAAAAAAGAAAAAAAGAAAGAAAGAGAAGAACACTGTAGAAATATCCATGCTATCCTGAAAAGATATTCATTACTATGGTTAAGCATAAATGTAAGTTCTAGAACAGCATGTACAGAAGAAGCCTCATAAAAATTCTATCTGTCAGACGGGAGCTGTGGCTCACGCCTGTAATCCCAACACTTTGGGAGGTCAAGAATGGCAGATCATGAGGTCAAGAAATCAAGACAATCCTGGCTGACATGGTGAAACCCTGTCTCCGCTAAAAATACAAAAATTAGCTGGTCGTGGTGGCGCACTCCTATAGTCCCAGCTACTTGGGAGGCTGAGGCAGGAGAACCGCTTGAACCTGGGAGACAGAGGTTGCAGTGAGCTTAGATTGCACCACTGCACTCCAGCCTGGGAGACAGAGCAAAACTCTGTCTCAAAAAAAAAAAAAAAAATTACATCTATCTATTTAACCATCTATCTGTCTGTTCATCTATCTCTCTCTCTATCTATAAATATACAGTAGAAAATTTGGATGGAAAACATTACGAGGGGAATGGACTTTTACGTTTTTACTTTATATACTTGTGTGTTGTTGGAACTTTCCTTTTGTTCAATAAGCATATGTTGCTTATATATTTAAAACAAACGCACCTAGCTGATAAAGGAAAGCAAAGAAGATTATTTGCCTTCTGCAAACTCTGCTGCCTCCGCCATCATTCCGGAGCTGCAGTGCTCTGTGCTGGACAGCCCGCAGTGCTCTGTGCTGGACAGGCCCATCTCTGCAAGGCTGCCTTTTCCACCCTGAGGGCTCTACCACTAGGACAGTCCTACCTGGGACAGAGCTTCCTGCCCATTGCCAAGGCGAGTTTTTTATTCCCTTGGCTCTTAGATGGGAAGGGTTGCCTTAAAAGACAGAATGAATATCCCACCCAAATAAAGGGTGGGGTCAGCGTGCATTTTGGAATCCCAGGGAATCTAATAACCTGGTGCCATCTATCCTAGCAGACTGAGAAAGAACTAGTTATGGCTGGCGTGGTGATTCTTATTGGCCAGGCTCTGGAAAGTAATGCCTGGCATTTAACAGGCAGGGACCAGGTACACTGGATGTCTTGCAAGGACAGTCCTGAACTACAGAAAATTGTTCCATGTCTCACGTGTCCCCCTGAACATTCAGAGACTGAACAAAGGCCCTGAAATGTGCTACACTTCTAAAACCCTAAATATGTTTATCACTCTTGGATTCTATCCACTCATATATCATAATACTGGGAATTACTAGGACACTACCTTTTATAAATCCCCATTTCAACGATGTAATTTCGTTCTTTCTCTTATCATAAACAAGGAAGTCAGGTTTATTGTCACTGTCATTCTGTGCTCTTTCATTTTTTTGTACTTTTTGTACAGAACAGCTTCAGATATCTCTTTCTTTAAATCCAGACTTATTTATTATAAGTAACTGCAAGCATCTGATGGCTTCCTTATATCTTTTAGTAGTGGTGTCCAAGCATATGCGCACTGAAACTACATAGCATTGTATTAGAATGATTTTCCTTTTATTTCTCCTTTATAGTGAAGTCATTATATTGATTTTTTTCAGTTACACATATAGGTAGGAGAGATATATTTATTTATACATATATTTCAGGATATGTCTCAGGATAGTACATTTATGTAATATTTGTTATAACAAGGGAGCATGGCACTGATAAAATTGAGAACTACAGTGTGGTCTCAGAGAAAATAGAATCCCTGCCTAGCCGAGATAACTATAATACGTGGGATTCATTGTGTGTCACTCATGTGCAATGAATCAATGCCCCATGCAGGGCTGTTATTCCTCCCACCCTACACATAAGGAAACTAGGTCTTGAGACATAAAATGGCTCTCTCATGTCCAGGGGCCAAGCCACATCCACCACCATGTAGCCCGGCTCCAGAGCCCATGAACAAAACCCAGCTGGCCTGGCTAGAAAAGACCAAAGAGCCGAGGATGTAGTAAACAGCAGCTTCTGAGCAACCAGGGCTCCCGCACACCATGTTTATTAAATGTCTGAGCTAGGTGCCAGCACTGAACTCTTGAGAGATGTTACATCTCAGTTTCTGGCGTCTCTCAAAAAATCGGAGGCTCTGGCCACAATAGACCCTCATTTCTACACGGCAGCTGAGGCAGATGGTTTGCAAAAAAATCACCGCAATTATTCCTCTCCTAATCTCTACAAGCCTTTGTCACTTTGAAGCTCCTACTACCAAGAAATGGAGTTTATTTCCCCACCCCTTAAGTATCGGCTGGCCTTAGGACTTCATTTGAATGACGATGTGCCAGTTCCCAGCTCAGACCTCTAGATGCCAAGCCCTCCCCCATTGCCCTTAGAACCTTAGACCACGATGTGAATAAGCTAGCCTGCGGGAAGAGGAGAGACCATGGAACCACAGGTGAGGCAGCTCTTGTGTCCCAGATACATGAAAAAACCCAGCCAGGATCAGCAAAGCTGACCTGCAGGTGACTGCAGATATTTGAGGGTGCTGATGATTCCAGGAGAATCATTTACTGAGTACACCTAAATTGCTAACATGCAGAAGTGTGAGCTAAATAAATGTTTGTTTTAAGCCACTACATTTTGGGGGTGGTTTGTTGTCTAGCAAAAGCCACTTGACAGAGCAACAATCAGCTAAGCTGTGCTGCAGCTGCATGCTACACGGGGTCTGTTGTCTCTAGTTTGCGCAGCCTCCACTTCTCCCTTTTGTCTCATCTCTGGCACCTTGCTTCCCTTTATATCTGTAAACTACAGAAATATATTCAGTGACCCTTGCAGAAGCCTGTTTGTAAGACCCATGAAGGATGAATAAAAGGGGAAAATAAGTACAGTTCTTTTGGAAGCAGAGAGGGACTAGGACATGGGTTCTTGAAAAGGAGACTTTAGGCATGAGCCACCGAGCCCAGCCAGATATTTTTTACTGTAAAAATTTTGATGTTTTAAAGTTTTTGAATCATGTAATCATGTTACCCATTCGAAAATTTAAATTTGAAGACATACTCTCTACATTTTTCTACCTGGGGCTTCTACCCATTGGTGTTAATTCTAGGCTATGAGTCCACCAGGGACTGGTGATTCTGTCCCTTTTCCATGTGGTAGGACGTCAGCCACTGGTAGAGAGGGATCCTCAGGTGACACACACCTGCTTCTCATCACTATGGGAACACATGGGACCCTCATCTCACTGCCCTTTCCTGTGCTAGTCATGAGCACTGTTCCCAAATGTTTCTACTTCTCCAACTCTGGACATGTGGTAGGATGGCACACCCTGCCTCCTGGTTGTTGAATGAAGCTATGATGAGTCCTGGCCAATGGATTACAAGAGTGATTAATATTATTTCTGGGCCAGAGCATTCAATTGCCAGCATTAGACTCTCCAGAGCTCTTTTTTCTTAAGCCACGGTTACTGGCAACATTCCAGACAGTGGCTGCTGTGTGGGTCTTGGAGTGAGGATGACAAAGAGCAGAACCCCAAGTCAGCCTTCAATGGAGCAAAAGGAAGACATAAACCTTTGTTGTTTGAAACCACTGAGATGTGGGAGCTGTTTGTCTCTGCAGCACAGCCTGCCCTATCCTGACTAACACAGGCGCTGACAGAGCAACACTCTTGAAGCAGCATGAATGGCGTGAAAAAGGGGTGAGACCATAGCTGCCCCTGACCTGGGTCAGTGGGGCAGGAATGAGCGCTCACTGGCTGTTCTACTCACACCACCGCCTCAATGATGCCCTGGATGTGCCGCTGCAGCTCCGGCTCCTTCCTGTACGTGTCCACCAGTAGCAAGGCCTGGTCGTAGCTGGCACAGTAGACCTTATAGACTTGCTCCAACTCCTCTTGGAATTCCAGAAATAAGTTACCTGAGGGTGAAGATGCAACAAAGAATCGTCAAGGGCATGTCTGTGTGTCCCCTAGCTTGGAACATGGAGGCAGTGAGTAAACCCCTCCAGCTCTCCAGTGAGATTGCTGGGTTTACCAGCATGTTACCATGGGTAAATGACCTCATCTTCCTGACTTTCTGGTTTTTTTCATCTTTTTTTTTTTTTTTTTTTTGAGACAGAGTCTCGCTGTGTCGCCCAGGCTGGAGTGCAGTGGCCAGATCTCAGCTCACTGCAAGCTCCGCCTCCCGGGTTTACGCCATTCTCCTGCCTCAGCCTCCCGAGTAGCTGGGACTACAGGTGCCCGCCACCTCGCCCAGCTAGTTTTTTGTATTTTTTTAGTAGAGAGGGGGTTTCACCGTGTTAGCCAGGATGGTCTCGATCTCCTGACCTCGTGATCCGCCCGTCTCGGCCTCCCAAAGTGCTAGGATTACAGGCTTGAGCCACCGCGCCCAGCCTTTTTCATCTTTTCACAAGGTTGTTCTGAGGATTGAGTGACAGAATGATATACATCTTAGGCTGGGACCCTGTGAGCACTTACTAAATGGTAGCTATAGTCATACCAGGAATATTAATAATGCTCACATTTGGACAGTGCTTTATAGTACACAAAGCACACTCATAACCATTAGCTCTTTTTTTTTTTTTTGAGACGGAGTCTTGCTCTTGTCGCCCAGGTTGGAGTGCAGTGGCGCAATCTTGACTCACAGCAACCTCTGCCTCCTGGGTTCAAGCGATTCTCCTGTCTCAGCCTCCTGAGTAGCTGGGGTTACAGGCACATGTTACCATGCCCGGCTAAGTTTTGTATTTTTAGTGGAGACGGGGTTTTACCATGTTGGCCAGGCTGGTCTTGAATTCCTGACCTCAGGTGATCCACTTCCCTCGGCCTGCCAAAGTGCTGGGATTACAGGTATGAGCCACCACGCCCAGCCGCTCATTTTATCTTTACAATTAAAGACAAAACGTGTGACAAGCACAACAATAAATCCCCAATTTACAAAGACATGCTGCAGCATAACACAACTGGTTATGGTATGGGCTTGGATTCGAGGGAACTAGGGCCAGATCTCCAACAACCCTTTCCCAGTTGTAACCTGAGGCAAGCGTCACTCCTCTGGCTCTCTGTTTTCTCATCTATGGAATGCAAATAGAAACAGTACTTATGGCCGGGTGTGGTGGGTCACGCCTATAATCCTAGCACTTTGAGAGGTCGAGAAGGGTGGATCACGAGGTCGGGAGTTCCAGACCAGCCTGGCCCACATGGTAAAACCCTGTCTCTACTGAAAATACAAAAATTAGCCAGGCGTGGTGGTGCACGCCTGTGGTCCCAGCTTCTTGGGAGGCTGAGGGAGAATTGCTTGAACCTGGGAAGCAGAGGTTGCAGTAAGCCAAGATCGCACCACTGCACTCCAGCCTGCACAACAGAGCAAGATTCCATCTCAAAACAAAACAAAAAAAAATTGTTTGCCTACTTGTTATTTTTAATCCCCATCCTCATATGTCATATTACATATGTAATATATTTATTATATACATATGATAAGTGCCATGAATTAAAACGAAGCCAAATAAAGAGTTAGAAAAGGGTGGGGGATGTACCTGAGGAAGGCCTCTCACAAGATGTAAATGTCTGCCACAGAGGCAGAGGTAACCAGCCCTGGGAACAAGCAAGGGAAGAGCAGCACCCAGTATTAGGGAAGGACACCTGCAGAGGCCCTGAGGCAGGAAAGTGCTGGCCACAAGCACAACAGCAAGAAGGCAAGTGTGGCTGGAGCAGGTGAACAAGGGCATAAAGTAGAGGAAACTAATCTCCAGGTGGATAGTGTCGAAAAATAAAATAGGTTGGGCGCTGTGGCTCACGCCTGAAATCCCAGCATTCTGGGAGGCCAAGGCGGGTGGATCACTTGAGGCCAGGAGTTTGAGACCAGCCTGGCCAACATAGCAAAACCCCGTCTCTACTAAAAAAATACAAAAGTTAGCCAGGCGTGGTGGCGGGTGCCTGTAATCCCAGCTACTCAGGAGGCTGAGGCAGGAGAACTGCTTGAACTCTGGAGGTGGAGGTTGCATGAACTGAGATTGTGCCACTGCACTCCAGCCTGGGTGACAGAGCAAGACTGTCTCAAAAAATTAATTAATTAATTTTAAAAAATAAAAATAAAGTAGAGGAAATAAGCAGGCAACAGAAGCCAGATCATGTAGGGTCTCAAAGTCAGTGAAGTGCAGTAAGGGATTCAGGTTTTATTCTAATGGTGGCAGGAAGCAACTGGCGGGCTTTGAGCAGCGGTGACAGGATCTGATTTCTGCTTAAAAGGATGACGCTGGTGCTCAGTTTCAGCATCATATACACTAAAGTTGGGACAATATAGAGATTAGCATGGTGCCTCTGCAAAAATGACATGCAAATTTGCTAAGCATTCCATATTTTCAAAACAGAAACTGATGAGATTAGTGACCTAGAGAAGGTGGACGGACTTGAGAGGAAGTAGTGAGGGTGAAGAAAAATATATTAACCACAAGAAGGCAGGTGGGGAACCAGGGACCACAGGAAGCCCAGCTGACCCTACTGCCTGCCAAAGCCATGGGCTAGACCTTTGACCTAGACAAGGTCTGTGTTGGGACACATCAGTTGGTGGCCAGAGGTGCAAGTTCTCAGCAAAGATCCCCATGGGGAGATCGCCATCCCTGGACCTACCCTTTCCCAGTGTCGGTTCAGCTGATGCCTAGCAAGAACTCCCAGGAGAAGCCCCTAGAGCCGGACAGAACATGACCACCCGAAACTGCAGCCAGGAAGAAGCTGTGTGAGAGAGAGATCAGCCAACTGCAGAGACGGCCCTGCTAGGAGATAGGTTGGGTGTGGCCTTGAAAGCTAGGCCAGTTCCCACACTCTCCTCAACATGGGTGTGTCCTCAGGAATGAGACAGACATGCCAAGGAAACTGTCATACCAGTGTGGCCAGGGGCAAGGGTGTTTCAGTAACTAAAGGATGGAGGAAAGTGAACTCCCAGAGAACAGAGTGGTCCAAAGAGGCAAGAATGCCAATTACACCAAAGGAAAGGCTTATTTCCTCCCTGCTTGTCCTTCTCCAGTCACAGATTAGCAAACAATTTATTCCTAGCGTCAAAGGGGGCACTTTATCTCTAGCTGGGATTAGTTGGAAAGGAGAGAAAGGGAAGCAGCATGGTCAAGACCTCTAGAAGAGCTGGGTTCAAATACTAACTGCCTGGTCAAGCTGTGTGACCTTGGGAAAGTTACTTAGCCTCTCTGAGCCTCAGAGATGTCTTTGGTAAAATGGAGGTTATTAATAATAATCAACAAGTAATGATCTTATGAGAATTCAAAGAGCTTCAGGTTACGTACTTGGCATCATTGTTGGCACAGAGATGGATACTGTTTTCAAGCTCATTTTAAGGTGGCAGTAACTGGGACTCAGAAAGGAAAGAGCTTGTGGGTGGCAGGACCTTGTTAGTCAGATTCCAAAGCTTCTGCTATAATCACTAGACCTGCAGTGCTCAAATACAGTAGTCACCAGCCATACGTGGCTATTGGGCGCTTGAAACATGGTGAACCCCGAATGCGACATGCTGTCAGTGTAAAAGATACTGGATTTCAAAGACTTCATACAAAACAAAAGTAATGAATGATGAATGTTTATACTGATTACATGTTGAAATATTATTTTGGATCTATTGAGTTAAATAAAAGATATCGTTAAAATTAATTTCAGTTGCTTCTTTAATTTTCTTAATGTAGCTACTTGAAAATTTTAAATATTTGTAGCTAACACTATATTTCTCTCTTTTTTTTTTTGAGATGCAGTCTTGCTCTGTTGCCCAGGCTGGAGTGCAGTGGCACAATCTTGGCTCACTGCAACCTCCACCTCCTGGATTCAAGCAATTCTCCTGCCACAGCCTCCCAAGTAGCTGGGATTACAGGTGCCTACCCACATGCCCAACTAATTTTTTTATTTTTTAGTAGAGATGGGGTTTCACTGTGTTGGCCAGGCTGGTCTCGAACTCCTGACCTCAGGTGATTTATCTGCCTCAGTCTCCCAAAGTGCTGGGATTGTAGGCGTGAGCCACCATGCCCAGCCCCCAAAAAGTCTTTCAAAATGCTGTTGTTAGGCCAAGAGTTTGCAACCAGGCTGACCAACATGGCGAAACCCAGTCTCTACTGAAAATACAAAAATTAGCTGGGCGTGGTGGCATACGCCTGTAATCCCAGCTACCTGGTAGGTTGAGACATGAGAATCACTTGAACCCGGAAGGCAGAGGTTGCAGTGAGCCAAGATCCCGCCACTGTACTCCAGCCTGGGCGACAAAGAGAGACTCTATCTCAAAAAAAAAAAAATGCTGTTGCTGCCCTACTGGGAAAAGGGCTCTCCTTGCATATCAAGGCCTAGGGGCTAGAAGGGGAATAGAGAGACAGTGGGCAGGAACCAGAGCAGCCTGACCCGGCACATAGTTGCACTGAGGAGAAGAAAAGCCATGTGGGTTATTTGGGCCTCTTTTTGGCAACCCACAAGAGACAAGGGATGAGAAGGGTATTTTCTGCAGACTCTGTAAAGGCCAGGGAACAGGACTGCCAAATTTGCAGGGGAGAGAGGAATACAGGATGCTCTGTTAAATTTGAATTTTAGATAAACAATGAATAATTTTTTAGCATAAGCATGTCTCATATTTTAACTGGAAACCCTACAGTGAAGCAGTGAGGGCAGCTCATGGACATGTCACCAGGTGTGATCAGGACACAAGTAGCCTTTTGGCTCTGTGGGCCCAGCAGGAAGGCAGACTGAGAAATGAAGACCTTTACAAGGAACCTCACCAGATCTCAAACATGTAGCTATAGAAGAGCCGGAGCTCAAAGTCCTTAGACCTTAGAATGTTTTCAGCCTGGGGCTGTATCAATTTCCATTCAAATAAGTGTTAATTATTAACAGAAATAATGATCAAATGATAAAAGAGAAAGTACCTGTGAGAACATCTATAGGTACTTTTAAAATTTTTTTATTTTTGAGACAGAGTCTCACTCTGTCACCCAGGCTGGAGTGCACTGGCAGGATCTCAGCTCCCTGCAACCTCTGCCTCCCGGGTTCAAGCAATTCTCGTGTCTCAGCCTCTCACGTAGCTGGGATTACCAGTGTGTGCCACCACACCTGGCTAATTTTTGTATTTTTAGTAGAGATGGGGTTTCACCATGTTGGCCAGGGTGGTCTCGAACTCTTGACCTCAGGTGATTCACCCGCCTTAGCTTCCCAAAGTGCTGGGATTATAGGTATGAGTTACCATGCCCGGCCTACAGATACTTTTAAAAATCTCGTTCTTTAATTTTGCATTCCCTTATCATTTATAGGGAATAGTAACTCACTCACATTGCTATTTTAGTAAAGAACTATATTTTCAAAGGAATGATAAACACACAATACACAGGCTTTAGTCTCACCTACCATGCAGAAGCAATTCAGTGTAGCAGTTGAGAGCTCTGACTCTCAGGGCCAACTACCTGCATTCAAATTCTGGCTCTGCCCCTAGCTGCATGACTAAGCAGGTTATTGCCTCTCTCTGTGCCAAAGATTCCTCAACTGTAAAATGAGATAATGGTATCTACATTTCAGGGTTATTTTGAGATGAAGTGAATTAATATATGTATATAAGAACAGTGCTTAGCATTTTGTAAACACTCAGAAAGTAGGTTTTTAAGATTTGTTTGTGTATTTAGGTCAGGCACGGTGGCTCACGCCTGTAATCCCAGCACTTTGGGAGGCCAAGGCGGGCAGATCACCTGAGGTCAGGAGCTCGAGACTAGCCTGGCCAACATGGTGAAACCCCATCTCTACTAAAAATACAAAAATTAACCGGGTGTGGTGGCGGGCACCTGTAATCCCAGCTTTCCACGCCTCAGGGGAGGCTGCAGGCAGGAGGAACGCTTTGCACCTGCCGCGGAGCGGCCACGAGCGCTCCCTTGACGTCACAGGCCGGACCGAGATCCAGTGGACCTTGCACGCTCCAACCTGCGTGACAGACGCAGACCTGCCATCTCCACAAAACCAAAAACAACCCCCACAGACGCTTTTCTTTGAGAGTTTGTCGTTATTTTAATCCCCATCGCCTCATCATGTGCATCTTCGTTCGAGGGAAAGGGTGTAGAAGAGCTTCGGTGCGTCATAGCGCGACGCCAGGCACTTTGGGCGTATGGCCACAGCCACTGGGTAGCTGTCATCCTCCTCCTCCTTTCCTCCACTGGTATGAATGCTGGCACACCACCCATTCCCTATATCGTCCTGACGTCCACGTCGGACCTCACCCATCTTAGGAGAGAAAATCGAAGACGAGCGAGAGGATGAGACAGCGCCATCGGTATGAGTTCTGCACCCCACCGCGGCGCGGCGCGCGCTTTCTGCTGCGCTAGCCATGGTTAGGGCGCGACAACCATTCAAATAGAGAAGCTATTCCTCCTTAGGAGGCTGAGCAAGGAGAGTCCTGAGGCCTGGAAAGGTGGAAGCCTGCAGTGGAGCAGTGAGTTGCCCCATTGCACCTAGCCTGGGCCAATACGACGCGTGAGATCCCATCTCAAAAAAAAAAAAAAAATGAAACGCAACAGGAGACTATCCTCTTTTCTCATCTGGTGCCACAACTGATCTCGCTGGCTTCCACTCTACCACCGCCTCATGAATCCATACTGTCCACCAACAGCCAAACAGATCTATTGAAAAACATAAATCAGCCAGGTGGTGGTGGCTCTACGCCCGTAATCCCAGCACTTTGGACAGGCCAAGCAGCAGATCGGGTCGGAGGTTCTCAAGGCCAGCCTGCACCAACATGGGTGAAACCCTTCTCTACTAGACACACACACAAAAAGAGCCCAGGCACGCGGGCGGGGGTGGCTCAAGCCTGTTACCCACACTTTGGGAGGCCGAGACA